ACCACGATGTAAAGAAATACACACATTCCTCCTTCAGTGTGACCAATTTACAAGTTTTTGTTTACATTCAGTTCCATTCTGGTTCTTATTCTATGCCCAGAGGTACCAGAGCATCCCATGCTAGCTTTAATTAGGATTACAATTCATAGGCCTGCAAGTTGAAGGAGGCTATAGCTGGGTTTGGAGCGCCATCTGATGGAAGGTCAAGGATTACAGGGAAAAACTGAGGGTTCAGAAATCAAGTGGCAACCACAGTTGCACCCTCTTTCCATACAAAATTTTGACCATCAAACAGTGAATGCTGTTAGAACAAACTTGCTTTGATTTACTAGTGAACAGTTTTTTTTTTAAATCTAGTTGTATGTCGCTATTTCCATGTCCCCTTTTCCTGTGGTTCTACCCTAATAATATCAAAGGTGTTGCACTTACAATCTCAGTCGAGGCTCAACACATCGCACAAAGTAATCGAAATCATCCTCCTCCTCCTCGTCCCAGGTCCTCCAGATGCACTGGTAGAAGAACCTTTTGAAGCAAAGTAAGCAATTAATCACACAAAGGAGGCCACATTTACCTGAGCAGAGACAACAGCACTGGAAACATGAATGTAACCAATTTGAGAATTCATCTCAAAGCATCACCTCTCTCCAATTCCATGTTACTGTCCTGTAAACTACTTAGAATACACAGAAGTTATCTTTGTCTGTTTTTTACCTACATTAAGAGTTTTATTTTGTGCATCCAAGTTCAAAATTGATAATAGCCTGACTCCCACTTTCATCAAGAGAGTGAACAGCTAAAAGCTGGATTTGAAAACGAGACTTACACTCTTAAGATCCTGAGGCTGTTTGACTGTTTGGTTTTGGCCAGGCATTCTTCAGCTAAGCTTTCTTTTTGACAATGAATTTGTCACCTCCATCATTCAAGTTTAGATCTCTACTACTAAGTAATTCTCAACAGAATGTGTCTCTTCTCCCCTTTTCCTCCCACACCCACCACTTCTGAATCAGCCCATTTTCTAGACAGGAAGGTCATTCCTCCTATTTTAGCTTTTTCATCCAGTTCTACTGCCTATTTGCAGACAGCTTTCAAACAGCATGTAGTACATGAAAGCAAGGGAGACGGAAGAGAGACAGAGATATGATAAAGAAAGGAAAAGAAAATAGAAGATGTGAACAGACACCTGTAGAATAAAGAGCAAATTTAGGGGAGGAGGCAAAATGCAGAAAAAAGAAGAATGGGACAAAAAAAAGGAAAAAATCCACCAAAATGTTATAGAAGAGAAAGGAACACCGCACTAGAGCCAGCAAGGTGACCCAAGGAAATCTGGGGTGGAGAAGAGATGGAAAGCAACGCAATTTCTCCCCCCCCCCTTTTGACACAGAAAGCAGACTGACAATAAGCTGCAAGTAAACGTACTTTGTGCTTGTGTGATTAGATATAGCTGCAGAGGGCACCACAGATTTTCTTTGTGTCTTTCTTTCCTCATAGTACCAGTCATCAGATTTACTTCGGAAAGCTTGGCTTGTTGAGCTGCCAGCATGACCACAAGAACTCAGGGCACCACCCATTGGACACTAACAGAGTGTAATTGTTCAAGACAAAAATTAAACCTTGAGATTTTCCTACCTGACATGCTCTACGGCTAGCGCTGTCTGGTCAAACTCTCCTGACTCATCATACACAACCCACAGCTCCTGCAGTGGTATCTGACGCTCCTTGAGCTCCAAGAGTTCCTGCATGCACTCCAAGGTAAAGGTGCTATCTCGTGACTCGCACAGGAAAGGCTCATTGAGTTGCACAACTGCTTTCAGAGCCGAGTACTCCACATCAACCACCTGTTGGAACAAATAGTTCTTAAGATTTCTCAGAACCTTAGATACAGCTGAGGAAGGCTAACATTACTTGCATAAGTCAGCAGGCCATACTGCAAGTGCCAGTTGACCCACACAAACCAATGCACATTGCATAGTACAGCAAAGGCAATCTATTCACCTGAAGTGATAACCCCAGAATTAGGCTTCTCAGAACCACGCATCTAGAGCCTTTTCCACATTCAACACTTCGTTCAAATCCCTCAATGCTCATACAAGGCCAGTAAGCTGCTTCCCTATTTTGGTTTTTTGTTTTGTTTTAGAAAACAGGCAAAAGCAGTATCCTCAGACTCAAACAAATCAATACCTTACCGTTCTTAGGGACTCCTTTGGGGCTCATTTTTCAAAGTGCCCACAAGACACAAACAATCCAAAGAGTTAGTCTGGGCCAGTGAAAGCCATTTCATCACTAATTGGGCTGAAAAGCTGAGGGGTACAAAGTTTTTCCCTCTTCAAACATGTAATGGAACTGCAAGTTTGAACATCCAACGTTTGCACAAAGATGCATGACTTGGACATTGAGACACCTAGAAAAGGAGTATTCCAAACCAGCAATCCTCAGTGGGTCTATAACAGGAGTACGCTATGCGAAGAGCTACTGTCATTATCAGGGTGGGTTAAAAGGAAGAATGTTACTGATTAAAAAAAAATGGCAAACGATCAGAGCCTGGTATTTGAAAAGACGACATTACAACAGCCAGTTTGGACCAAGTACTTATCCCCTGTGTGCCCACAGAGTTCTACCTCACAGCTTACTCGCACTAACTTGGTGTTCCCCCTTCCAGTTTCAAGCAAGGAGCCCTTTGAAAAAATTCCTATTGCTCTAGCCATCACTGGCAATTAGATATGAAAACATTACTATTTTCTACCAGGTCATAAACTTCATAGGTAAATGATCTGTCTGTTACAGAGGTAAATGATGTTAATTGGAGATAAATGCCTGAGCAACTGCATTCCATCTACCTCAACAAGGACCTCAAACACATTAGTGCGCCAGACTGCCTGCCATCCAGATGGTTCAAGGACCTTCTCCAGGTACTCAGCTGTGAATTCTTTCACCTCAGAAGCTTTGCAGTCAGCTAGAAAGAAATTGAAGACAGTACATTTATGCAAGGAAAGACAAAAAAGTCCTCCAGATCATTGGAAAATGAAAGTCAACACAGTTGAAATGTTCCTCTGCCACAGCTAAAGTTGGACTTCATTCTGTTTTACTCATGATAACAGTCAGCATTTTTGCTGTCTCTCTCAGTACTGAGAGAGCTGGAGAGTCATGCTTCTCTCTGGAAGAAGAGATCCAGTACTCGACCTTCCAGGTGCTGAAGGGTTCAGTGCCAGGGGTATTAAGCAGCTAACCTGTGCCTTATCTTAAACAGTCTTACTACACACAAAAAAGTTATAGTAAGATCAGTTAAAACAAGGCACAGAATCCAGTATTATCACCTTTTCCTTTCAATCATTCAGATTTTATTTACTTATATTAAAACCATTGCCTCCTGGTCCACCAGCTAGAGCAGCTGAGGTTACAGCATAAGTGGTAGCAGCACCCTACATCTTTTCTAGTCCCTGTTATTAAGAGCATCTCACAGTTTAATATGGAATTGACTCCATTTAAACTGGATCATTTAAACAGTCACTACAACAAACCTGACTACATGTTCTTTTTCTACTAAGAAATTACTTACCCAAGATGTAATCCTGGTAAGCTTTAAATCGCTCATAAAACAAAAGATGATCGGTGTGAAAAATATCTGGAAAAAGCACGTTCCCATCTGGCACAGTCCTTCCTAAAGCAGTCCCTGGTTTGTCACGACTGCCATAATCACTAGAGGAATCATCATCTTCCTGGAGCAGATCTGGGGAGAGGAGTGGGAACAAAGCAAACCCCACAAACTGTCAGTTCAATGCAATCATCACTCACTCCTCTATTCCCAAAGAATTCCTGTTCAGCCCAAGATCTATCATGAACCTGCTTTCTACAACACATCTTAAGTTATCCTTGATGAAGAAACTATCTTACTTGGTTACTTGCTCTCTTCTTCAGAATATTTACCCTGTCCCAAAAGAAGATCTCCCTATTTGTTGCCACCTGCCCTGAGCTGCAGTTACATGCTAATTTACTTGGTTCTACATGTAAGGTCTAAAATACTTTAGGTAATACATATTATGCCTTGTTAGTACACTGCCTGCATCACCCAGACGTGATATCAAGCAATAATCCAAATGATTTTGGAACATGCATAAAACCAGCTGATCCCACACACAACTGATCCAAAATAATGCACAGGATTACTGTGAGCAAAGAGCAAAATATAAGTAAGATGCATAATAAAACTGCAGACATTAGTCTCAGCTAAAGATGTGTTTTCACAAGTTGCCCTTTCCTTCTCTTAAGTCTTTTCCTGTTCTTCAGTAGAAGCATTCTTTTTGTATTTTAATAAACTAACAAATAACAGACCCTCCACACCTGAAGTCTCCATGGAAATTCCAAACAACATATTTAGACGGAAGGGACACAGCATTGTAATTTTTAGCCCGCTTAAATGGACATTGGTTGAATCTCTACTTTGAAGTGCTCGATGCAATGATAGCACCCCTTTAGAAGTCTCCAAAAAAGCATCTCCAGTTGCGTTCTCATCACAAACTCAGTGAACTCAGTCACTGTTGGTCTTACAGTATCTCTCAAGCCTGGTCATCCTTAAGTTCAGAAAATATTAGGGAGATGACTGCAGTAAACCAAGGGTGATGATGATTCAGGTCCTTTTTTTTTCTTTTTGTTACTGTAACAGCTCAAGACACCTTCATTGTCCATAACTTGACTCTTTAACAATCCATAGGCCTCTGCATTTTCATTAGACTACGGTCTAACCTTTACTATATACCTAAAAAAAAGAAAAAAATCACATTCTATTTCTAACGCAACCCTTACATTTCAGGATGTGTTATGAAAGCTAGCGGTTTTGGCCTCAAATTTGTTAAAGTTCTTACATATCGGGGCGCAAACTCAATCAACAAAACAAAAATCAGAACCAGTGTATAAGCCAATTACAAGTGCTTAGACAATATGACTTTTCTTTGCAGCAGAACCACTGCAATAACATGTAAAGAAAGGAAATGAAAAGGTAATTTTAATCATCAAGTGTGATTTATGAAATATTTTTAAAGATTCCTGTAAAACTGTAGCTATGTTACATGTACACTGTAAATAAGAGGTTTTTTCCTACACACCCATAATCAAATCCAGCAACTGTGATAGCAATACCCTGTACAAGACACACTATGAATTCCAGAGCACAGCATACGTTCCAGAACAAGCCGCTAATTTAGCTTGCTCTTTGTTTACAAACTGCGAGCCTATAACCACGTATCAATAACGACCTGGGACCGAATAACGACACTCAATAGATACTAAAAGCACCAACGTTCCAATACTGTGCTATTAAGGCAGAGGGCAGGGGAGTCCCTTCCGGGAAAGCCTTTTTCCTCCGTCAGCGTTTCAAACACATACATACGTGTTCCTGGAGGCTGATTTAAATGCCTGCGGTACGCACCTGAGACACACGCCGTACGTTCATAATCAAAAGAAAAAAAATGTTTTACTTTACTGTGTTTATTTCCCAAGACACCCCTTTGTTCCCTCGCAGGGCACCATTTCTAGCCCGGTCCCCACCCCACGCACCGGCAGCCTTACGAACCGGGGAGCGCTGAGCCGCTGCCTGGCGACGGCCCCGGGCACCGCAGCCTCCGTACCGGCACCTCCACGGGGGCGGACGGGATACAAGAAACGTTTTCCCCGTAAGGGCGGCCAAGCAGCAGTACGGGTTGCCCGCTCTCTGTCCGTGGAGGTATCCAAGCCC